CAAATTGCGAGTTTTTGGTGATCAATCACTAGAGTCAATGATGAAGTCAAACTCCGGAAAAAGTTGAGAGAAGCCTAGAGCGGAAGATGAAGAACGAGGGTTTATGAAGGTTTTTAGATCCAATTGGCTAGGGTTTGCATACCAAGTGTGCACAATCAACAATCACAAGACTATAGACAAGCCTAATCATGAGACCCATTGACAATCGTGAAACAGTTGATAAGCCATTTGTTATGTATTGAGAGAATTGAGCAACATCGATACACAATTGATGGCCGTAACGACTCTAACAATGAGCACGGCCGACGAGACAAATTCGTGATATCAAAATAGAGTCATCATTTTAGTGCTTCACCTATCATACCCTAACTCCACGAAACGAGATAATTCAATTGACTCCACTCCTACTTGTAATGGGATAAGTTCCCGACATTCTCCCACTCTATTATGTCAGACACTTTTTCAAATAAGTTTGGCTCGTGCATTCTCTGGAGAGGCATAAGACTGTGAAAGTGTCACAGTATCTACATAAGACGTCCCTAATTTTTAGGACAAATTTTCAACGATGGCCCGTAAATTTTAGATTAAATTACAATTATGCCCTTAATGTTTTGGGAAATTAAAAAGAAAACCGCGTTGCCGACTAAAATAGTGATGGTGACGATGAATGGGATTATGGGATGAAACGTATACACTTCAACAGTAAATTAAAATCCCTTTTGTAAATTATTAATAATTAATTTCATATTTCAAATACTTCACGCGCCATAGATTCACGCGCCTGCTGTCTCTTCGCTGTCTAACAATTAATTAAAACATTTTTCTTTTATTAAACAATTATTTTTAATTCCATTAAAAAAAAACAATGTTTTAAATTCCCTCTCTTCTATCTTTCCGACCCTACCACGGCGGCTTGTACAAATTTAATATGTGATTTTAATATTTTTTTTTATGAATGTTTATAGGACTCGAAAACCAGACTCACTTTTGTAAAATTAAAAATTTGGGTCGGTTCCAAGTTTAAATTTTTTTGTAGGGTCAGCTCGACCAATCCGACCATTCAAAAAACAGGGTCACAACCCAATCCAACCATATTTTTAAGTTTATTGTAAAAATTAAAAGAAAAAAAAATAGAAATGACACAGGTCGAGTTAAGAAAATCTTTTAGACCAACTCGAAATTTTGGGTTGGTTGGTTCGGTGACCTGAATTACCCAAATAAAGCTTCCAACCCAACTCTCTATTTTCGAGTTGAGTTGGGTTAGGTTCGATTTTTTTTTATATATATATAATTATTTCTAAACAATTATATTTATCACCATCAATCTTACATTAATAACTAGAATATCTTTCAACTTTTCGTTAGTTTTGGATGGAAACAGTTAATACTGTCTTTCAAAAATATCTTTCAACTTTACGTTAGTTTTAGATGGAGACAGTTAATACCGTGTTTCAAAAATATCTTTCAACTCTCCGATAGTTTTGGATGGAAACTATTAATTCTGTGTTTTTAAAATATCTTTCAACTTCCAGTTAGTTTTGGATGGAAACAGTGAATACTGTCTTTCAAAAACATCTTTCAACTTTCGGTTAATTTTGGATAGAAAATGTTAATACTGTATTTCAAAAATATCTTTCAACTCTCCGTTAGTTTTGGATGGAAACCGTTAATACTGTGTTTTAAAAATATCTTTCAACTTTCGGTTAGTTTAGGATGAAACGGTAATACTCTGTTTCAAAAATATCTTTCACTTTCAGTTAATTTGGGATGAAACTGTTAATATTTTGTTTCAAAAATATCATTAACTTTGAAGGGGTTTCAAAATTCCATTAAAAACTTAAAAAATATTCACTTTTTTTTTTTAATTAACTTCAAAAAAAAAAAAATTTACTTTTGGTGCCCGGACACAGCCTTTCCTGCATGAACATCCATAATTGATTCAGTGCCTGACAAGATCTTCTTTTTTAATAGCGGAATCACGACCATTATTTTTACTAAATTTTTTAATGACTCGACGAAAGTCTCGTAAAAACTCCGAAGATTGCTGATTTATTTAAAAAAAATATAAATGTAGTCGTTACAATGTATTATTTTAATTCAATTCCCTTCGACAAAAAAAAATTCACTATTGAAACCAAAATGTTACCAAATTCAAACTTTAATGTTTTTTTTTTTTTTTTTCGATTTGAGCTAGATTGAATTTTTTAAAAATCGAAAATTCCAGTCGATTAGCATGTTGACAGTTTTTTTTTTTTTTTTTATTTAACACAACCAACCCGAATAGAGGATTGCTACTCAACCCTATCTGACTATACTTTTAAGATTTTTACGAAAATTAAGGATATTTGACGTTTGTAACTGATGTTAATGATTCATTATGACTTGAAAATGTTTGATATTAACCCAACCTAACTTGAAAATAGATGGTTGGATTGGGTTGAGTTGTGAACTTTAGTCGGGTTGTTCGGGTTACCAGTCCAACTAATCCAATTGGTCCAAAAGATTTCTCAAATCCATCCCGACCCGTTTACTTTTGTAATTGGTTCATTAGTATTATAAATATTTTATTTCAACTTGCACCGTACACATAAATTTATAATAAAATTTAGTAATTATATAGGGAAAAAACGTACAATTGCAAGAACAAGTTGAAGGGTGGGAGAAGGTATAAGAAGTCAATAGTTGAAAATGAATAATATATACATTCAAATAAAATAAAAATGTCAATCAATATCAATTCTTTTTTAATGTTATACAAAAATTATACAAAATAAACATCAAAATTAGGTTTAAAAATTAAAAAGTGTGTTATTTAGGATTAAATAATCATTTATTTTATCTAAAAAAATTATTTTTAAAACTATTTGCATAATAATAATAATAATAATAATAAATATTTGTTGGAGCAAAATTCAAAATTTAAAATAAAATAGAATTTTTTTTAATGATTAGAGAATGATTTTTAATTTTTAAGGTATATACACAGGTTGAGTTGAAAAAATCTTTTAGACTAATCCAAAATTTTAGGTGAGTTGGGTTTGAAAAATCCTTTGGACATGTGATGTCCCGCATTAGTTGGTGAGTAGAACAAACCATGATTTATAAGGGTGTGGAAACCTTCCCTAGCAGACACGTTTTAAAGCATTGAGGGGAAGCTCGAAAGGGAAAGCCCAAAGAGAACAATATTTGCTAGCGGTGGATCTAGCCCATTACAAATGGTATCAGAGTCAGGTTCCGAACGATGTGCCATCCTTCTCGTTGTTTCCCGAAGGGGGGTAGACACAAGGTGGTGTGCCAGTAAGAATGTTGGGCCCCAAAGGGGGTGGATTTGGGGGCGGCCCCACATCGATTGGAGGAAGAAAAGAGTGCCAGCGAGGACGCTGGGCCCTGAAGGGGGGAGGATTGTGATGTCCCACATTGGTTGGGGAGAAGAACAAACCACCATTTTAAAGCCTTGAGGGGAACCCCGAAAGGGAAAGCTCAAAGAGGACAATATCTGCTAGTGGTGGATCTGGGTCGTTACAGAACCAATCCAAAATGTTGGGTTGGAAACCAGAGTAACCCTAATAGAGTTTACAATTCAATTCAACCCAATTATTCATATGTTACATAAATAACTAAAATATCATAAAATTTAAATATGGGGTGGATTTGGGGGCGGTCCCACATCGATTGGAGGAAGAAAAGAGTGTCAGCGAGGACGTTGGGTCTCAAAGGGCGGTGGACTGGGATGTCCCACATTAGTAATATGGGGTGGATTTGGGGCGGTCCCACATCGATTGGAGGAGGAAAAGAGTGTCAGCGAGGACGTTGGGTCTCGAAGGGGGGTGATCCCACATTATAATATGGGGTGGATTTGGGGCGGTCCCACATCGATTGGAGGAGGAAAAGAGTGTCAGCGAGGACGTTGGGTCTCGAAGGGGGGTGATCCCACATTATAATATGGGGTGGATTTGGGGCGGTCCCACATCGATTGGAGGAGGAAAAGAGTGTCAGCGAGGACGTTGGGTCTCGAAGGGGGGTGATCCCACATTATAATATGGGGTGGATTTGGGGCGGTCCCACATCGATTGGAGGAGGAAAAGAGTGTCAGCGAGGACGTTGGGTCTCGAAGGGGGGTGATCCCACATTATAATATGGGGTGGATTTGGGGCGGTCCCACATCGATTGGAGGAGGAAAAGAGTGTCAGCGAGGACGTTGGGTCTCGAAGGGGGGTGAACTGGGATGTCCCACATTAGTTGGGGAGGAGAACAAACCACCATTTTAAAGCCGTGAGAGGGAAAAGCTCAAAGAGGACCACATTAGTTGGGGAGGAGAACAAACCACCATTTTAAACCCCTGAGATGGAAAAGCTCAAAGAGGACAATATCTGCAAACCACCCTTTTAAAGCCCTGAGAGGGAAAAGCTCAAAGAGGACAATATCTGCTAGCGGTGGATCGGGATCGTTACAGGACCAATCCAAAATGTTGGGTTGGAAACCGGAGTAACCCTACCAGAGTTCACCATTCAATTCAATCCAATTGTTCGTATGTTTTATAAGTTATAAACTGTTTAGTATTTTTAATTTTTTTAGAAGTAACTTAGAGTTGGGTTAGGATGCAACCCTATTTTTGAGTAAGTGGGGTTAGTTAGGTTGACCTGTCAAAAAAAAAAATGTTCAACTCGTATCAGGTCATATGAACAACCCGCTTCACCCTCTCCTCCCGCTCCATGTTGTTGGTTTCAATTTTTTTAGTTTAACAATTGCCCATATTTATAAGTTACAGCACATCATTTAATCAGTTACAAATATTAATCTTTTTAAAGGAAAGATACAGTTAGGTTAAGATGTAATCCTATTTTACACTTAGTGGGGTTAGTACCCAACAAACATCCGTAAACTCCTAAACCAACTCAAAGTAGATATCAGGCTACATGAACACCAGTCGTATATGGGTTACACGAAAACAAAAAAAACCCTAAAGAAAACCAATGTTAATGAATCAAATCGCTTAGGTAAACGGAAAGAAATACGATTAGCAATAAGCATAAGCATCCCGCAAGAAAACGAAAGCCGGTCTTCTTGTTCCGTGAATTGAATGCGACCCAAACCTCACCCCTTCCGCCTACAAATACCCCAATGCTCCTCTTAACTTCCCTGCGCCTCTCTTCTCTTCCGCCTTCCTTCTGATTACTTCCCATTCAATCGAAAACAGGAATTCAGAAAATGGGTCGTCTTCGTTTCTTGCTATTCCCCTAAAATTTCCTGCGATTTCACGAGCTTAGCCGCCCCTTTGCTCAGAATTCGCTACAGGTATCACTGTCTAATGCGCTTTAATTTTGTTGATTCATACTGGCCGTTCGTTGATTTAATCCCGCCCCTATTCTGTGTTTTCGGCTTTGATTTTGCTGATTTTCGCTAGGTTTTGCCTCTTTCTCGCATTTGTTCTGTGAATTTCTTGAGATCGTAATTATGAACTTTTGCACTTTCCATTGACAGCATTGATAGTTCTTCTTCTGGGAATTTCACTTTTGGAGTTCTTTCTGTGTTTGGAGGGTTCGAGCTCTGAATCCCCTGTTTTCTTGTTGGTTTACGTTTTGTATTTCGATTATCATGTGAAGTTTCTTGTTGAATCCTGAAATATATGGTTTGAATCTCATATCTCATTCTATCTATCTTGATCAGGGTAATCTAGAATTTGGAGGATTAAATTTCTCCATGGTAAGCTTTGATTCATTAGGTAAATTATGTAAAAGGGTTATTATATAGTTTCTATATTGTGATACGATTTTGCTGGACTTTGTGTTCATTAGGGAGAAGCCCCAGCTTTCTTTGTTCATGATTTGAAGGAAGGATTTCGTAATGGGTTCGGTTTAAAATCGAAAGGTTGTGAAACAGCCACTGTCATCGGCGATAAAACAGTACGCTCGTTTAGTTGTATCGTATCGATTTTTATGAAGAAATTACCTCTACTAGTCTTGATTTTTGGATATGCTTTTAATAGTATCTTGTTGATGGAGGCTGTGACGACTCGTTGTTGTCGTTTCAAGTTCGAGTATTTGATCATTCCAAAGGATTGAAGTAAGTTTCTTCCCTGGCTATGCGATTAAGTCGTTGGGTTAAAGGTTTTCTAAGCTCTGGTGGGATTTCTAGGATCAATCCAGTTGTTTTGGGAACGGTACCAAACCCGTGTAAAGGGCATTCAGCAATCGCTTTGAATGAAGATCGCATCTTGTTTATTAAGGGCGGATCCGCCTTAGATGACTCTTTTTGGTTTCTTGAGGTTAGTCAGCTGAAATTATCGTGTTTCGGGGCGTTTGGTCTTGTTCTTATGATGTTTAATCTACTTGAATGTGAGTAGGTGGATACCCCATATGTTCAAGAACAAAGAAAGTCATTGGGTTGTGAAGTTGTTGCTTGGAGTAAAGGTGTGAGGGGAACTATCGAGAAGCCGATCGTTGTTAGCGGTCCGTCTGGTGTCGGTAAGGGTACTCTTATATCCATGCTAATGAAAGAGTTTCCATCTTTATTTGGATTCTCCGTTAGCCACACGACCCGTGCTCCGAGGAACATGGAGAAAGATGGCCTCCATTACCATTTTACGGAGCGTAGTGTTATGGAGAAGGACATAAAAGAAGGGAAATTCCTCGAGTTTGCTTCGGTTCATGGAAACCTCTATGGAACTAGTGTCGAGGCAGTCGAAGTGGTAGCAGATGCAGGAAAAGTATGCATTCAATCATGTTCTTATTCTTAGTTGAAACGAGTTTCGTGTCTGCAAACCTAAAACATTTGTTGTGTTTTTGTCCTGTAGAGATGCATTCTCGACATCGACGTTCAAGGTGCAAGGTCCGTGAGGGCTAGTTCCTTGGATGCAATATTCATCTTCATCTCTCCACCGTCAATGGCTGAACTCGAGAAGCGCCTTCGTGCTAGGTAAGTTAACAACAACTCCATTAATTTCCTCATTTAAAACGTGTTCCCTTCATTTTAACCGATCTGAATATGTATCGTTACACCCTCAGAGGAACCGAAACTGAAGAACAAATCCTAAAACGACTGCGAAATGCCGAGGCCGAGATCAAGCAAGGCGAATCGTCTGGTATATTTGATCATTTCTTGTTCAATGATAACCTTGAAGAGTGCTATGAGAGTTTGAAGGTAATGAAATTTTTGCTTTTGGTTTATGTTTTAGCTATCAGACTTCTCATCCTTTTGATATCATGAATTATTACAGAAACTTTTGGGGCTTGATGTGAGTGTTCATAGTTGCATTAAATCAGATTTGGACCTTCCTCCAATCGTTCATTCGGTATCGAGGATCGATAACAAAATTATAATAACCTACCGAACTTCAGACCTCGAGAATGAATCTCGGAAGATGTAAGTACTCGTAGTCGAGTCTCGATGATTTGAAATTTAGTGTGTTCAATGTGTTTATGTATATTATGTTCTTTTGGGGAGCAGGATTGTGTTGGATCTATCGTCGCTCAAAGGCGGAGCGCCTGGCCGGACAAGAGGGTTGGAGGCTTATGCTATCGACTCGGTTTCAAATGGCTCGAATATGATGAATCAGCCTAGCTAACAACTCGACTCGTCCACCCATGATTTACATTGCTAACATGCTCTACCCTTCTACAGATGATGGCAAAGAGAGAACGGTCTTACATTTCGAGACGACTTAACTAGTTTGATTTTTTCTGGTATTACGTTTTGTTTGGCGTTTTAAGTTTAGGAAGAGAAATGACTCGAAACAATGTCGAAAAGATCGATCGATTATTATTATTTAATACATTACATAGGCTGTGAGATGTGGTCTGTGTGATTTTTCTGCGGGGAATTGGCTCTCATCATTTATTCAACACTAATTATTGTTCCTTTCACTTCAAATTTGAAAGTCCCATTTTTCTTTTATGCTGTTGAATGGGTTTTCTGGGTTCTTGAACGATGTTCGGTTGAAACCGTTTCATTTAGGTTAAATTATAAGTTTAGTTTTTGAACGTAGCAGGTACATTATAAACTAACAGAAGAACGAGAAGGACGAATCCGATTATGTTCTATTGAAATGGGGTGAGAAAGTCGTGCTTCTTTCGGTCGGCTTTGGGTCTCTAAGGAAATTCTCGTGCACTCCCTAGGATAGTAGACTCTCTTCTTATCGTGTGGGAAAGGGTTTTAATAAATTATCTTGCTTGTAAAGAGAAAAGAACTAGGTAGTATCTCTAGCGGTTTCGTTTTGGGCAGACTAGTAGCTCGAGAAAAGTCGGATGATACAAGAAAAATAATTATACCTCCAAAATGTAGAGATTATATCAAATTAAACCCCTAAAGTTTAGGAGCGAATCATTTATTTATTTGGAATTATAAAAAAAATTGATTATAGAGATAGTTATTATGGTTGTGAATGAAGGGAATGAAATTGAGAAGAGAAAAGGGGCCCACCTCCATGTTGGCATAATGGAAGGCTGCAGATGCCAGCAAAGGAATTGTACTGTTCGCAAGTGGAGGTGTGGGGTTCACAACTGAAAACTGCTTTAACTGCCATTCATAACTCTATGCCCCCAACTCTCACTCAACCTTCTTTTCATTCATTTCAGCATTTTATTATTATTCTTTTAATAATTTTCACTTATGTATTTTCTTTCGTTCCAGAACACTCGAGAGAGTGATGAAGAGATTGATATATACCACATATTGACTAGTTTCTGTATCAGGTTCAGACGTCGAGATAGCCTTGAAATTCAACTACCTAGTTTACTAAATGAAGAAGACATGAACTCGAGTGCAATCTTATGGTTCATCTTGAAAGCTAAAATGCTCGCACTAGATGTGAGGTGCATTTGTAACGACTCGTGCCCATAATTCGAAATCAAGATTTAGCATTTGATGACTCTGACATTTTCCTATGTCTCTTGTGACATGGTCGCGTTACTTACTTCTCGTTTATTAGAGTGAAGGCTATGCACACAAACCAACACGAGCACATAAAAAAGATAAATAAAATAAATAATTAAAACCTATAAAAACAAAATAGATTAAAAAGAAAGTAAAATAAAAAAGAAAGTGGTAATGGGTTAGGAAGAGTTTATGATGAGCAGGTGGTGGCCCACATAATGGGGCTGCACCTGCAGGCTACAAGTGGTAAATAAGAACACATTGGAGCCAATAATAGGGTTCCGTGTAGGACCTACTTTCCCACATGACTTGGTCTCTCCTACAATTTTTTACCCTAATTAATGTTCCCTCCCTTCAACATTTAACATTTGATTCACTCTTAAATTTTCTTTTCCATTTCAAATAGTGTTCATTGTCTTAGTAAAATTTCGCATTTCTTCTTTTCGGGTTATGATGATAAAGAAAAAAGTGTTACGGTTCGAAAACAGTCGAAAAAGGTCACTATGTAACCCCATTTTCACAAAAAAATCTCTCCTCTCTCCAACATTCCTCGCGTCTAACAAACCCCTCCGTTATAATCTTTGGTCACCATAAAAGAAAGTTCTTCCCATATACTATACACTCTCCTCTTAAATCCATAGTTTACTTGATTGATTTCTGTGACTTAGAAATAAATTTTTATTAGTTTTTCTAAATTATGATAAAAAAAAAAAATATATTGTTTGGTCTCTATGTAGGTAGAAATTTTTCGTCATAAATGTGTTAAAAAAGGGCAAAGATCGATTAAAAATTGCAAAAAGTCCATTAGAATTAGGAAGGAAAAAAAAAAAAAAGAAAGTCCCAAAAAGGAGGAATCTTGAAGGGTTTCTACTTTGGATCCAAACCAATAGCTCGGATTCCAACCCTACGTGGAGCCTCAACAGGAACTAGGTCCGACCCATAGGCCCATGTCTGAACCTACCTAGGTTTGGGTTTCACTTCCTTGGGTGCAGCCCAACACATTTGTCAGTCGTGGCCCAATCCACAAGTATCTAATATGACGATCGTACTTCTTCAACCGTGCAGCGTCGTGATCTTGACACGCTTACGACAAGCCTTAAGGAGAACTAAAGCCCCATTCACATTTTTACCCGGCTTTATGGCTTCGTTGGCCTTTGGCGAGGTTTGCCTTCATGAACCGAACATAAGTTGTGCGGAATCTAAGCTTATTCGGCCATACACACCGCTCGTGTATGCATGTTCAATTGTTTGTTACTCTAACTGACTTGCCTTTAAACTTAGCCAAGTCATTTGGCTCGACCTTGCCTCTACCCTGGTCTCTCGTAAGCAATGTCGCATCTCATTGTCATCTCGATTCCCAACAACGCGATCCATGCATCGTGATGACATCCCATGTCTCGGGACAGTTCGATCATCTTGGCTTACTTGAACACATTCGTTGGGGGTTGACCCTTGTGTCAACAATCTCAACGAGACATCTTGAACATCCATCTATTGTGGTTCTCATCGGACATGAGACTCTCTCGTGTCCATGCTAAATCATTTACGACATCCGCTCTGGATAGCGGGTGCATAATCCAACCTCTGATACATGGATTGAGGGGCAATACTAGTACACCCCTGTCGTCTGGTATTGTCTTTGAAAGACCTTGTTTAAAGAAAGATGCCTGAGATGCTCATCCTACGATGTTCACACACGTTATGACACACGTATGTGCCACAAGGTAGCTCGCTTAGGTCACAGGGCCTAGGGATGGTGGAGAGTTGACACCATGCTTCCCCCTAAGGTACATTTTGAGGCATTTTCAATCTTCATCAAGTAGACATCATTTTGGTGAACGGTCATATGGTGTTGTGGAGCATCCGTCCGATGTTTGGTTGCCACAAAATTTGGCGAGTTTTCATATTTCATATGGACAGACTTGACTTTAGAATCACATGCCTAAGTTTCTTTTGGAACCTTGAATTTCGAGGCTAAGGCCCAAGGCCCTACCCGACCCTTCAACAAACCTATCTTTGGCCCTTTTGTCTACTCGTTGCCCTTATCTTGTTTGTGCCTCATTTTAGCTTCAATGCTCACACTATGTGGTGTGTTGGATGATGCACCGTCCTCCTTGTTGCATCATGACATTTGTCTAGGCCCTCGCATGGTGGGCACCACTTGAAGGTCGCCGTTTTGCTTGTTGCAACGTGAAGGTCACAACCTACTCCTTTCATAGTATGTTGTGGCATCTAGCCTCCTCCTTCATAAGCAACTTAGCCTAGCTTGCCCAGGACCCAAACCCATCCACACTTGACCCTGTTGAATAAAACTTTTTGTGGGAAACACTCACTCTGTGTTAACACAAATCAAGAATAGATTACAAGAAAATACATAAAATACTACTACACTTTGCTTTATTTGAGAGTAAATGGAATTTCTTTGGTTGAAAACTCTAGAGTGGAGGGATATTTAGGGAGGCTACACAATTTATTCATAAAATATCTAATCATTTATTACTAGAATACTTAAATCATTTTTTCTAAAATAATTATGTACCTTTATTATTAAAATACCTGAATCATTTTGCTAAAATATATAGACGATGGACTCTACAATTGTTGGGCTTGACCTTATTGGGCTAGTGATGATATTTTAACACTCCGCGTCAACACTAGTTCTCATTCACTGCACCATATTGAGCTGACAACGAAAACGAAAACTCTCATATTTAACAGTATTCAACCTTTTTGTAGACAAATATGCCACTTGGTCATCGATATTCTTCCTTCAAGAATTTTTCTCTAATAAATAAAATAGTAGTGCACCTCTACATGCTTTGTTCTAGCAAGATGTAACGACCCTATTTTCCTACTGAAATGGAGTCACTATCATATGCATGACATGCCATTTGTATGCGTATACATTTTTCATGACCCAAGTTTTAAATAAAAGATAAAAACTCAATAAGATTGATGCTATGGAACGACACTAAGTCTCTTCAACCGTTTTGTAGACAAATATGCCACTTGTTCATTAGTATTCTTCCTTCAAGAATTTTTCTCTAATAAATAAAATAGTAGTGCACATCTACCTGCTTTGTTCTAGCAAGATGTAACGGCCCTATTTTCCTACTGAAATAGAGTCACTACCATATGCATGACATGCCATTTTTATGCGTATACATTTTTCATGACCCAAGTTTTAAATAAAAGATAAAAATTCAATAAAATGGATTGATGCTATGGAACGACACAAGTCTCGCTTCTCCACCTCGACTAATGGACTTTCATGACCCATTTTTATGCATATACATTTTTCATGACCCAAGTTTTAAATAAAAGATAAAAATTCAGCACCTATTTTGTTATAATGAACTATTACCCAAATGCAGGGTATCGATCTATGTACCTATTGCATGCTAAGTGAGCGCTTTACCATCTAAGCAACATCCTCATATATAAATTCAAATAATTATGTAAAGAAAAATAAGTATATTATAATATTCAAAATTTGTTAATTTTGCTTCATAACATGATTTAAATCAAAATACATCGTGATCGAGGTAAGTGAACTTACTATTGATATGGTCGGATGACCATGTAAGAACTTCTAATTACATGAATTTTAATGAACATGATATGTGTTATGACCTGAGATTTATAGTAGAAATGTGATATTTATGATATATGAATGTAAATTATGGCATTATCATAATGTTAGAGGATGAAAACGTGCTAGCAAGGAGACAAATGATAATATTCCAAAAGAAAATTGTTATAATAATTCAATAATGAATTGTATTGTACACTCTTATTTGATAAGACCTAATGCATACGGTATGTCTACAAATTTTGGTGATATAACCACGAGGGAGAGGGATGATATGCCCCGGGAAGGTGTTGTTGCTGTAAAAACAAGAGAGAAGGAGAAAGAAGAACTCTTAAGAATGATAGATTAAGGGAAGAGATGGATGAGAGAGCTCAAAGTAAAAGAGAAAAGGACCACAAC